GGCACAAAGGGTGTAAGCTCAGGGCTCTCAAGCCCTAACTCCATCCAAGGCAGATCTACAGTCTGCCGGGCGACACCATTATTTGCCCTGGTCACGATTATAAAGGCCAGGAGTTCGAAAGCAAGGGCTTAGAGGCTCTAAGGCCCAGGCCCCAATGAAACCCAAAGCCTGAACCCTTATGGAAGCTCGGATGGTCGTGCAGCCATAAAAAGGAGCTCACAAAAAACCTAAACCCACTGAAATCCTTAAACCTCAGAGACCCTCAACACCCCCAAAAACCCCCTAGTCCCTATGATACCCTATAAACCCTGTTTAGGGGCTTTTGGGGGCCCGACAGGCCGAAGCGTGTCCACGGTGGACGAGGAGCTTCTGGAGATAAGTAGCTGCCAGCACTCTTAAATATAGGGCTTCTTTAAGGGTTGAGGAGCTGTTTTACGGGATCTATAGGGTTCTTTAAGGGTTGAGGAGCTTCCTCTAAGGGATCTATATACTATAGGGTTCCATTAGGGTTTTGGCAACAATGGGGTTCGGGAGTTAAATTGCTACCAATACTCGAAGGGTTCCTCTAAGGGTCTAAGGGTTCCTCTAAAAGATCTATCAGGGATTGAAGGTCTGGGCAGATATAGGGATAAGGGTTAATTAGGGTTCGAGTTCCTTTGAGGGTCCTTGAGTTCAGTACAGGGGCTTAGGATTTAGGGCTCAAGGGTTTAGGTTTTAGGCCAGGCCTTTAATGTAATTAGACTTGGGTGTTGGGGGGCAACATTGTGCCATAAGTCTGGTAAGAATAGAGCCGCTTCGAATCTAGGCCCTAGATAATCACTCGGGGTTCTTTTTTTCACCACTATTCTGTCGGGTTCCCACTCGGGTTCTCGCATATCAGGATATATATATTTGGGCTTCCAGCTGTAAAGGACAGAAACAGCCAGTTTTGCAGGGTGCAAATGCAGGTTCTTCGTTTTCTCCGGAGGATGAATCCCTACCAAGCCATGCCAAAAATCTAGGGTACAGGGATTAAGAGTTTTCGGTTGAGCCATTCGTTGAGGGATGGGTTTTGCTTGAAGGGTTTGGGCTTTGGGCGTAGGGTTTAGGGGTCTAGCAGTTTCGGGCTCAAGGGCTTCGGTTCGAAGTGGCGGTAACTAGCACAGCCAGTGCCCGTTTTGTCCTAATGACATGGTTCCAAGTCCTCAGTCACCACTTGCCATTGCATCGATCACAGCAGAGGCCCAACCTCAAACTTCCAGCCACAGCAAAAAGAAACTTAATCCAAAGTTGCAAGCTTTCCATCAGTGCGAGGGGATGCTTCAGAAGAGGTTCCAAGCCCCAAACTCCTGCCCTACCCTACAGAAACCCAAAGCCAACAAGATTTGGAATACTCCCTATGGAGATCGGAGGAGCGCCAGTTCAATCCGAGGCTGACCAAGCCCGTGGAGGAGAAGTGCATAGAAAAGTATGGGGCTTATATGGAGTGAAGGAAACTGGGGTTCGGGTTTGCAATCATACGGGCTCCACCCAAAAAGTTCTACAGAGGCTTGTTGCAGACAGGGGGCGGGGCGCGGTATATGATGCTCTCCCTGGAGGATTCAATCAAGGTAGCAGATTCAGGTTCTGGGTGGTTTGTGTTTGAGGTTCACCTGTAACCCGAAACCCTACAGAATAGCAGTTCATGACCCCCACACTCACAGGACGCAATCTTCAAGATCGTAGGTTATCGCTCAAGGCTTAGGGCTTAGGCACTTTGCTTCTCAGGTCTACGTGGGTAGTGTGGGCTTGGAACATAGTGTTTGGGGTGTGGGGTTGAGGGTTCTCAGCTTAGAAAATACAAGCGTTGAAGGTTGCTCGTATGCGGTATTGCTGTTGAACTCCCTTGTCATAGGCCGAGGCAACAACCCCCCCCAACAGAACAAATGAATGCCGACGTTTCGTTCTGGGGTTCAGAATACTCCTAACCGCCCGGATGCACTATGTGCAGTTCTTGGCGTTCTTCTGGCTGGCTCTTAGGACTTTATAACTTTTTGGGTTTCTATACTAACTATGTTGAGGAGGCTAAAAGTATAACTTTTAGGAGGGGTTCAGAAGTCAGCCAAGAGTTTGCCACCGTGCCAGGAGTTTGAGGAGCTCATGGCCAACCTAGGCAGAGCCGTTCGTTTTGAGCGTTGATTTCCGGGCCTCGGCTCGAGGCTCTTTGTTTGGAATGTGTAGAGAGGGTCAGGGTTTAGGGTTTAGGGTTTAGGTGTGCTTGGGGATCCTGGCCGGGCGAGCACTAATCAAGCCTGTGGAAAAGGGTTTAGGGTTTAGGGTTTAGGGTCTCTACAAGAGGCGTATAGACGAAACGTGCTGTAAATCTAAGCAGTGAAGACAAGACATCTCAGCAGCTTATAGCTGGAACGACGCGATGTTGTACCCCTGTGGCGGGTGGGGGTAGGTTTAGTCGGACACGAGCACCTAACAGCCTTAAGCCCGCACCGCTGAAGGCAAATAGCTTCAAATCCCAAACCCTAACTTTACACTGCCGAATTATTCCTCTGGCCACCCAAGTCGCATCCCGTGAAAACAAAAAGGGCTTCATCCGGAAGTCTACAGATTCAGAGCCTAAAATTGTCACACCCGAACTCGAGATCCTACAGTTAGAAAATGACCTTTTATCGAAGTGTCATGAACTCGCCGTGCTGTTTCTCTCCCTCGCTCGGTAATCGTGGTCCTTGTGGAAAAAACTGAGCGAGACGAATTGCCACCAACCTTTGTCTTCTAACATCGGACCCTCACCCTGTCTTGGTTCGCGGAAGGCTTGCCCAACCCAAAGAAGATCGATGTGGCTGTGCCGGCAAACATGGTGTGTGGCGTGCAGGCACCCGCCGGGGCCTTTCGGTTGAGGTTTCAAGGCTTTAAGATTCAGCTTTGGCGTGTCCGGTGCAGGATGACAAGGTTCGGGATGTAAACCCTAAACCGCTTAAACCCTAAACCCTAGGACCATGCCGAAACACCCGAGTCACTAACGCGGAGGGGGACTTTTTTTTGTTTCTGTGTCGTCAGTCCCATTCCTGGTGAAGGATGAGCCTGAGCCAGCAGTGGCTGAGACGGGCCCGGCAGCATTTTGATTTCCGTCTCATTGTTGTCAATCCTAAGTGAAGCAGACGAACAATGAAGAAAGGTAGCAACCGACACTTGGACAGGTAGTGAGCTGAGAGCTGATCCAGTTCTCTTGCTTTACTGAATCTGTGGTGTTCTTACTTGGTTGCAAAAACGGTTGAACCTTTCGAGATTTGGAAATAGTAGGCTTCTGTCCAACGACAGAAAGCTCTACTGGTTGTCATGGTCCGACATGCTTTCGTTTTGTCAAAGAGTGTGCCTTTGCTCTCAGCAGCAACAGGCCACCGTTCCATCCGCTTGCGTGCGATTGCAGGATGTTCATGATTCGACTCCGTCTAGTCTGCCGTCATCTTCTAAAGATTCAACACCTACTTTAACAAACTAGAACCCACGTTTTGAGGGGACGAAATATATCAGGTATTCACGAGGACCATACAAAAAGTTCGTTATGGTAGGTTGAGGTCAGCCTAAGTCTGGGCTTCGACAGCCGCGGTTCCTGCGATCTGCGCGAGCACTCCGAAGGGGGGTCGCCACAAAACCGTCGATGCCCACAGCTCCCGAAAATCCTAAAGCCCCAGTTCAAAGAGTAAGCTCGGTATGACGGAGTTTGCATTACGGCGACCTCCCACACACTCTGGGATGCCACAAACGGTCTTCAGCAGAAGCTTGGGCCGTTTTTCAGCTTGTCCCAGGAGCTCCACCCCACATCCCATGCTGTACCCATGTGGCGTGTTAGACTTTTTTGTTTGAGAAGGCTAGCATACTAATGAGTCAATCCCTTCCTGTTCAACGCCTTCGTGCTCCACCGCTGCAGATCTGTGACGGGCACATGACTTGAGATCAAGAGTCTAGAACTCCTATTTCTGCCCAACGCTTCATTTAAGGCAGGGTGTCTAGGCACATGTTTGTGGGTTCGCAGTTGTTCCGAGTTCAAGAGTAGAAGGCTGTCTAGTCAAGCTTGCTCTGAATTCTGCTCCTGGTCCTGGTCTTTGTCCATTTTATGTCAGGCTTACCCGGTTCAGCTTTGTGTAACCTCCCTGTGAAACATTAGTCTTAAACCTGCGATTTCCTCATATGCTTCGCGTCAGCTCCTGGCAGAGACTTGCAATGCGTCCCTGTGGCAAGAAAAGATCCGGTCTCTTTGACATAGGAGTCGGATTAATGAGGAACTCTATTCCCGCGGGTTTCTGACTAAATGTATGCCATCAAAAGATATCACAAACCCCTATTGGCTTTTTCCAGCCCCAGCACTGGGCGATAAAACAATCCTACACTTAGCTTTACAACCAAAAGCAGGCCGTTGAGTCTACCATCCGGGAACCAGTTGCGGCGAATGAAGGCCCCCTTTTGGAAGTACTTCATGGGTCCTCCAGACCGGGGTGTCAACATTGCATTCCTTCATAACCCTTCAGGACCCAACACACATCCATGCACAAAGCATTATTTACACAGTCAGCGGCAGCTTCACCGCAAGGCATGTCGGTCAGTCGCAACACCGAGCTGCCTTGCATCATCTTTCGAAAGCACAGATCCGCATCGCGCAGTCTTGTGCAGCTTTGTATCGTTTTCGGATGGGTTTTCGGACTTTCTCGGAGCACGGGCTAGGGACTTCAGGGTTCACTTGTGTTTATTTTTGTTTGCTCTATGCTTCAGCACGGAAGTTGTGCTCAACTTTACGGGTCTGGGGGTTAGGGTGTAGACCGCGTTTGTAGCGCCCTGGGGCTGCAGGGTTGTTCTGTTGGAGTCCAGGCTTCGGGAAATAGACTGCAAGCGAACCTCCCCGCTACCTCAACCCCCCTAAACCTACTTTTCTCCAGGTTCCTCAACAAAAAGCCTGATATAATTTGCGAAAGAGGTGGGTTATGCTCAGTTGAGGTGCAGCTCAAACCTCAGCCGAATCCTTTGCTACCGAGGTCCGGCCAGGTAACACGCCGAAGCAACCCTTTTGGGTCATCCACGCGGCTGCACTGAACATCGGTGAGAACGAGTTTGCGACGGCCCCTCGTTTTGGGAGTTTAGGATGCGGTGCAGGTTTGGTGGCCTTCACCATCCTCAATCCAACACCCCACGCCTCTGAACTGCTAACACCAAGCCTGGGTGCATTTCCATCTGCGAGTTAAGAACCAGTTTATCTCGTAGGGTTTACATAGGTTGAAGACGACCGTTGTTTTCAGTGGAGGCCTGAGTTTCTTGGAAGTACCGTAAGATGTGGGATTTGGAGCAACCCGTACGGCACTGGGTTGCTATGTAGTACCTCCAGGCCCAAACTAAATGCTATGTGGGCAAGTTGACTCTCGGGCCGTAGGGTTCGGGCTACAGGGTTGACGTGCTTATCTTTAGCCTCCTTGCCTTGTGGAAACCCTCCCATAACGAAGACCATAACGGTGAATGGAAACCTCAGCAACTGGATCGCAGCTTCCTCGTCTCTCACGTACCGCACTACCATTTGCACATCACACTTAGACTTCACCCTGCGATCCCAAACTCGGCATGTGTGTGTGTCTGTGTGTTTGTAAATCTGCTCAATCCAGTTCTCAAACGGTTTTGGGTTTAGGGGTTTAGGTCAGGGTTCAGGATTGCCGGTAGATTTCTACACCTTACCGGCGATTGCAGAGAGGGTAGTCCTAGCTTGAGGCATGCTATGGTGAACCTTAGTGGGTCGTGCAGATGCGAGAAGCCTAAACCCACAATCCTTCAGTCTTGACTTACCTTTGGTTAGTAGGGAATGGAGGAAGAGGTGCAATTATAACTACTATTACTACCATTCTTCCATTCCCTACCAACCAAAGGTAGGTTAAACCCAAATGCTGCACATCCTGAAGGACTTCTACGACTACTCCAACGAGAATTCGAAGCTGGACTTCGTCGCCTATGTCGAAGACATGGGGCGGATCTACGACTTTTGGCAGATGACTTGGAAGCATGTGCCCCAAAATGGCACGAATAGCCTGGAACTCAAGCTAGGGTTCGCGATAAGTTGTCTTAAATATATTAGCTGATTACCGCAATCTGTGCCCACAGGTATACACCCCATCTAAAGCTAGCAGAGATATGGTATCAAACTGGCTGAGCAAGCACGCTGACCTACAAGCTGCACTCGCTCTGAACCTTAGTCGTGATCGCAATGAGTACCCACCCACACCGCCCAACCCTCATCCTTGGCTTCTTAGGTTTCCTTGACGGGGTTTTGCAGTTGCAGTGGTGTCAGAACAGCGCCGTTCCAAAAAGAGGGGTCGGGACAAGCGTACTGCAGATGTGTGGTGAGTTGTTCGCGAGTTGTTCAGGAACCACGCCCCCGAAAGTCTCCGTTACCACCGAAAAAACAGCAGCTTTCCGAAACCCTAAACCCAACCAGCCCTAAATCCTAAATCGTGAAACCGAGAGCCCGTGTCAAGGACAACATCTTGCAAGCCGCCGCTGCTCTCGGAGCTGCTGGGCATGACTTTTTCTGACGGTCTTCCGTATCTTATGGTTTAATGTAGAGCCCAACTGATAAAATATAAATGCTTCTGAGGACTGTAGACATCGACACCTGGAGTAGGGCTTATAAGGTTTGGTGGTTGAGGGCATTACCCAGGGTACCAGTCGCAATAGGCCTAGGGTAGGGAATGCAGAAGGGTGTGGGACTCTGGGTTTCTCAAACATTTAAACATTTTAAAATTTGGCTGGCGGGAAACTCCAACCCCATCAGTGGGTCCATGCTCAAGCTACTTCCTATAGGGCCCTTAGCAAGTGCTCATGGCGTGTTTTCTGGTGTACTGTATGATATACGCCAGAAGACTAAAGGCTTTTCCACTTGTCAAGGCCCTAGATTTACGAGTTTCTCGGTTACATCAAGAGCTGGTCTGCTTGCAAGGAGCATCTTACAACATATGTGAAGTCGACACTGGGGCCCCTGATTGTTGTAAAGCTCGTTCATCCATAGACTCATAGATCTATTTTGGGACAAATACCTCCAACCCTATTCTGGTTATTAAGGCCTGGGTTTCAAGAAAGACATTCCTATGCTGGACCAAGCCCCGTTGAGAGAAAGCATCAAACTCCGACGTGCCGAAGCCAAGTTTCATTTGGGAGTTTCCGAAAATAGGGGGCCCTTATATAGTATCCTAAATAGTGGGATCCTGATTAAAAGGACCCCCCAAAATTAGGGTACCCCTACTTTTCGGAAACTCCCATTTGTTTCTGAAAAACACCCCTTTTCCCCCTTGCCCACAAAGCCCAGAGTCCTCCAAGTCTGAAGCCTACGCCATGAAAACTGAAAGCTGGAATCCAAAGCACCAGAACTTCGAGGTGTCTGACCTCATCTTCTTTCCTTTCGGTATGGGCGCCTTCCTCCGTAACTTGCACAAGCTCGATGGCAGGTATTGCCAGGCACCTTCAGCCTCTTTTCGGGGTTACATATATATATATATATATATGTGTAGGGGCGTTTCGGGTTCGGGGTTGATTGCAAAAGGTTGCGAAGGAGTTTTAAAGGATTTTACAAGTTTCCAGATCACAGGGGTTTAGGGCAAGCGGTGAGGTGCACAGTGCTCGAGATTACAAGGCACCCCATGAGTGTTTTCTAAAAGTATAGCAAGGTTTTAGGATGGGCCTTGTAGTTCGCCTGTGGGACCAGCAAGCAAGAGCACTGAGGTTCACCAGGAAATCCTACCCGTCAAATCCTAAACTCCCAATGGCAGGACGACGTGGGCCTTGCGAACTTGCGGCATGCCCTGGCAAAGCGATTCGTGAAGTCACTGGTGGTGGCGCCGCCAGGTCCAAAAAAGAACAGTATTTCCTTAAAGACACTGTCGACCTGAAATTACGAACCCTCCCTGCCTAAATCATTTAAGGATATCCATGGGGATCCTTTTCTGGGGTTCCGCGCGTAGGAGTGGGGTCGTGAGGCTCTGCGGCTCTATGCTATATAAGTGCTGAAGCCAGGCATCCTTTTTTTATAGAAAGGAGCATATCACCTTGCGAACCTGTTGATCTTGACGATAAAAACGGAAAGGTATATACTTACCCAGGGTCTTGCAGACACACGGGTCATGTTGCGGGGCGGATTTATTTTTCTGCTGAGGAAATGCAAAATTAAAAGGATGGTGGTTTAGGGTTTAGGTGTTTGGTGTTTACTTCAAGCCCGTTAAACCGCCTCACAATTGCAGTTCTTGGAGGAAGGAGTGCCTGGTTAGGCACCAGGTTTTGGTTTAGGTTTAGGTTTTACAAGCTTTTGCTGGTGTAAGATGCAAGGTTTGTGCTGGTAATTTCATCCTACTACAAGGGCACGACAGGGGTGTGCAGCTAACCGTTCGGACGTTTCGGTTTGGCGTTCTGACGACGTGATGCACGGCTGGAAGACAAACAGGGGATGTTGATCCCTTGTTCCATCTCACCTTGTTTACTTATCTTTGCCCTGACATGCTCGTTACAAGTCCCTTTATGTTGTGCAACCCGAGCGTGGAGAGACGGTGTCATTGCTGATTTCTGATATTATGTTACGTTATACATGTTATGAGGAGGGTCATCTCACAATGTATGTGTCCTGCTGAGTGCTGCTGCTTGTCGAGGAAAGTGCCGTTTGCGACTTGGCACGCAGCAGTGTTCAGATGTAGCCGGCCTTGGCTGTGCCGAGAGATCCCAGTACTCTTTGATCGGGGAGTTGTACGGAAAGGCTCTGAAGATCTACAGAAATCGTATGTTCAAAAGGGGCATCGGGCTGTTCCAGCTTCAGGACTGTGGCATTCCTGCAGCATCTAGGATCGTCTTAGATTTTGAGTCACTCCTTGTACTGAGGATCCCTAGTATCGATGCGGCGTACATACTTGGGTTCTCATTTTCTGAAATTCACTGTTGGACTTACTACTATCTCCTGAGATTAGGTTTCCTTTAAAGGGAATGGGTTATTGAGACTACTATGAAGGATTATATAGGGACTACTCACCTTAAATCCCAAACCCCGTCAAGCCCAGGGTAGGCTCGCCTCGTGCTCCATATCCTCGAGCGAGACTTTTGTGGGTCTGCTCAGCTGGCTCGCCATATCATCATCGAAGAGCGCTGAAGCTGCAACCCTAATCGACATCAGGTTTTAGGGCTTCAGGGGTTCTAGGGTTTATGGCCGTTTAAACCCAACCCTAATCCTAAGCTAAAAACCAGGTTGTGCGGCTTTGCATCGCGCCGAGTGGCAAAGGCGCTCCGGGGGCTTTCTGCATCCTACGGCGTAGGGAGCTTTTGGGGTTATTTAAACTAAAGTGTTAATTCATCAAGGTTTACTATAAGAGATTTTTGCGGTTTGGGGATTGTAGATTTGGTGTTTTAGGGTTTGTCTTTGAGGTTTGCATGGGGTCAAGGGATTTGGCATGTGGGGTACAGGGATTTGAGTATTGAGATTTACGCTTTCGGGTTTGGGACTTGATTCCTAAACCCTGAGCCCAGACCTGAAGCAGCCTGCACTGCGGGCTCGTCTTTGCCAAAAACCCCAATCCTTACCCGTAGAAACATAAACCCCAAAGCCAAAATCCACAAACCTCTGCCTATGCAATCCAGGGGACGGGCTCGCATAACCCCAAAGCCAAAATCCACAAACATTTGCCTATGCAATCCAGGGGACGAGCTCGATGCGAATGCTGTCGCCTTTCTTCAATCCATTTTGGAAGGCTCTTTGGCCATGCTTTAGGGTTCAGGCTTTGGGGGTTTAGGGCTTAGGTCCGTCAATGATGACCACAGATTTTCTGGTGTTGAGGGTTTCATAATCATCTCCCTAATAGTGGCAAGTGGTAAACCCGAACGGTGTGTTCAACTCCCAATCAAGTCATCTAATATAGAGGCCTGAATGATTAGAAGAGGGTTATGTGGCCTATTAGTATATGATTTTAATCATAATAAGGAACCACCAAAACAGTGTAGGTAATTATTTAGGCCCCTATAGTATGGAAGGGCCGGGCCTTTGGAGTTGCCCTTCCCTTCCAGGGGTGAGAGGTTTCATCGGCAAGATTTGCACACATAAGTGTTTCTCCTGGGCTCCCTCTGTAAGTTTGGGTCCCCAAATTGATGCTGTTCCTAAGCGTGACGGCGATTTGGGCTTTGTTTCCGGCATGCTTGGCCGGAGTCCTGTCACACCGTGAGTTTCGCCCGAAGATCGTGTGACCGGCTTGCCATGGAATGCCACCGTGAAGGGGAAAGATGCAAACCAAAACGTTTCGCAACTTATCGTGTTACCTAGTCAGGCTTACATCCAACACCGCCGTACACCGCCGTCAACCGCGCAAACCTGCAACCTTGCACACGAAGGATCGCCTTTGGCTCTGGCATTTGGGGTTTTCACGGGCGTGCGAATGTCGGTGGCGTTGAAAATGCTGCTCTACCAGGGATACGCATTTGATGCTTACAAGCTACAAGACTACAAGATGGTAGAAGTTTCAATAAAGACGAAAAGGAAGTTTCTCAGTGCTCCAAACAGTTCCCACAGTTTCGATGAAGACCAAAAGACCCCATGGCTTCTCGCCGGGAGGTTCCGAACTGGTACGAAGGAGGAATTCTATAGGATCCTTACTGTACCCCGTGGCTCAACAGCCCAAGGTAGGTAGGGGGTATTTGTTTATAAAGTCTAAAGTTCAGTCAAACAAATCAGAACGACCAGTAGTACTGCTTGTTCAAAGACATGAGACCTCAAAGCAAGCACTAGTCGTATGCTGGGAGTCGTCGGGTTAGGCCAGCATGCAGCCGAAGGTAACAAAATCCCAGTCATGGCATGGCCCATTAAACCTTATGAAATCCGGTACAATGAGACTAGAGCAGCCCCCAGGCCGCTTCTTGTACTTTTTGTAACAGCACAAAATGCCTGCAAAGCTCGTATTGCTTATCGCAGGTACCATGCCCCGCTTTTGTTCGACCATACAAGACCCGGTAAAGCCCTACAAGGCCCCATCCATAACCCTATTAAGCAAACAACCCCTAAAATCCAAAACCCTTTTTGTTCGAGTTGTGAGCTCTTCCTAAACCCTAAACCCTACTTGGAATCCGACAAACCTGGGAAGCCTTGAAGAGCAGGGATCCAAAAGGGCGTCGGCGATAAAGCAATGCGCCTGAAGCCGTCATCTGTGGAGTGCCCCGGTTCTACTGTGGTTTGCGGTTTGGGATTTAGGGTGTGGGGTTCAGGCTCTGTTGATCTTGAGGGTTTCCGGGGTTTAGGAACTTGGTTGTAAGGTTTAGGACGTCAGGCTTGCGACAGTATCCTTAGAACAGGCATTTATGGTGCCTTAAAGTCTACAGACCATGATTGGAATGGCTCCTTGTAGCCATGATGGCTAAGATTCCTTGCAGGCTGTCTTTTTGGAGTTCCTTAAGGGGCTCTTTCAAGAGAGCTTAGAGCAGTTTAGGGTGTTAGGATCTAGGTTTTCTCTAAGATCCACCATTCAGTTCCTTAAGGTGGGAAGTTCTTCTTCTGAAATCTACCAGCGTTTCGGGATGGTCATGCTTGCCTTTTGGATACAGGTGCAGAAAGCGGTGAAGATTAAGATTGACCTTTTGGGTCTGTATACCTAGGTAGATTTAGTAAAACGGATAGATACGGCATGATGTTAAATAAACTATATTGACGGATACATCTACAGATGGATACATCGGTATACACACGGTTGGTGTTCGGCCCAGGTTAGCCCGGAAAGGGGACACCACCAACCCAACCCGAAACCTTTCTTACGCCAATGAGAGTTACACCCAAGCCCTAAAGGTTCGAGAGTGAGAGCTCAACCCATAGAGTTGCCACAGAGTCTTAGAGTAAACCTTTTATCACAGACTTCCAGTTTTGCGGATCCCGGCTCTGCTTGGAGTCACGAAAAACGATAACCAATCAGAAATGCAGACGTTGGACAGCCCAACCGTTGTCTGGCACGGGACGGCCATTGTGATCCTTCAATCCAAACATTCCATCATCCAACAGCTGACAACTCTCCCTGAATCAACTCCCCGTTCTCTTCTAGGGCTGTTAGAACTTGAACTCTGGCACAGGAGCAAGCTTATCGAACCGTGCAAAGCTCCTTACAACCCTCATAACGTTCTCCAGAAAGGCAAGCCTGCATCATCATGCGCAACCATTTATACAAACCCTATAGTGGACACTTTGAAGATCCTCCCTCCGTAAACCTTATATACCCTAAACGCTTACTCAAGGATCCTGCTGAACGCGGATGCCCTGACAGTTGCCCAGCAGTATGCCAACGACCGGCGGACAGTGGGGTGTCCTCTCAGAAGTTCAGAGCTTCAAAGGTTGAGTATTTAGGGTCTATAGGGCTTGGTGCATTGCAGTCCCTGCTCAAAAAAAGGGTAGGGTTTAGGGTTTAGGGAGGTCCAGGGCAGGGTGTCGACCTCGAGTATGAGGCCCAATACAGGACGGATACTGGTAGCTATGTTTAGGGTTTCGAGCCTCAACCTCATAGAGGCTGTGATAGTGGACCCTTCCCCCCGCCCTGCTCCTCAACGCCTCCACCTTAGATTAATTCCTCTGCTAGGTTGGTCAATGGCGCAAACCGTCGCCTCATCGGAAACCATTGGTCCGGAGCTAAGTCGCGGGGGTTTACGGTTTAGGGCCATGTTGTTAAGGTTTGGTGCTGAGGATTGAGGGTCACAAAGGAAGGAACCCGTGTCTTAGCATCACCACCACGGCGAGCACAAGTGCTATTCCTTCTTCTGTAGCGATACTTTGCTACGACACTAGCTACTGAGCTACTGCTGCTGCATCATCAACACAACGGCTGGTACCAGTACTAGTATTCCACAGCACCACTACCCCGATCGTTCTCCGAACATCTTCGACACTGGAAGCAAAGGCATGCCGCACGGAGCTTGTTATTGGGTGCATTTGTTAGGCAATTCGGATCTCGGTGGCCTGTCGCTGGCTACATGGCATCCGTAACTCGCAGCACTACCAAATAAACAGATAAATGATGATAAACAAATAAGTCAAGACATATATATACACACTGACTCATACTCTTGGAGTTTTCTGGCTTATCCCAACGTCCCAAGGTTCTCCCATGGTGCCCGCATGGCCATTGCCCGGAGCTGAGGGCCTAGGGCTCCAGATGTGCAGTCATACGGTGGGGGGGGGTTATGATTCAGAGTTTTGGGTTTATGATTCAGGGTTTAGGATTTATGATTCAGGGTCTAGGGTTTATGATTCAGGGTTTAGGGTTTATGATTCGGGGTTTATTTAGGGTTTATGATTCAGGGTCTAGGGTATCTGGTTCAGGGTTTCTGGGGGAAAATTCAGGGTGTATGATTCAGGGGTTTATCTAGGGTTTCTGATTCAGGGTTTAGGGTCTACGGGGGTTTATGGCTGGCCTTTGCCCGTGAGTTGTATGGAGACAGTCCTCTCTGGCACATAGATCTTAGAAGCTGCCCCCACCCTGTAATAGTGACTATGAGGATTATTTGAGGGCCCTACTATATTTCTATTATACCACTGCTACAGGGTGGAGGCCCCTTCTAACATAGATCTAGATTCAACCTGTTCAGAGCTTAGGGCCCAGGCTTTTGGTTCCAGCTTCACTTAGGGGTACTTAGAGAAATATTTTTTAATTTTTGGTTATTATAATTTTTTAATAAACAGCTAAAATGTTAATTTATGCTAGGGTTCTAAGTTCAGTAGATTTAGTTAAGATGATTTGAGGTCGAGGTCTAGCTAGACCTGACCACTCAGCGGGAAAAAGCAGTTGTTCGCGAAATCAGGGTCCTTTGAGGTGTGTCCATCTGGCAATGGCGACCCCCAACTTGATCCAACCTGACAGAGCCCCAAGTAAACGCACACATTCAGACATGCATATATGACATATGTAGTATCTCCTTTTCAGTCTATACACAGAGGTGAGGCTTTGAAACAGTAGATTACAAACAGTACTGCTTTGAGCTGGCTTGAGCTTCAGGCTAAACCATATCCTTTGCTGGCTACAAGATGTGGGGAAGCTTAGGTTCTCACTGAGGAACCGAATTTCAGTTTCTATGGTTAGACTCGCGGCTAGACGACCATAACATCTACTGCATGCTCTCGTTCTCTAGTTTCTCTTGCTAGGGCCCTCCTAAAGTCCTAAAGCCCTACATGGGACCATCACCATGAGAGCGCACGTCGCACCATTATAAAACCCTCAGATGCTGGACAGAAGCCTTCACAGCCCTAGTCCTCGGGGGCTTCAAGGGTTTATGCGGAGTTGTGTACTGCGGTTTGAGGTTTTGCGGTCATGTGTGGCGTTTTTTGTGGGTCCGTGCAGGTCCGAAGGGCTTGAGGTGGTAGGGCGGTTTAGGGTTGAGGAGTTGAGGATGTTTGAGGGGTTTCAGCGTTGCGGAATTGGATCAGGATTCAAGAGCTTTTAGGGTTCAGCGATCGGAGTTTAGGGCTTTAGCGCTCAGGGTAGAGTGGCCCGATCCTTTAGCTAAAACCCTTAGCTGTTGAGTTCAGGGTTTACAGCGCCGAGGACGAGAATCTCCACAGACGCAGCTGGCGCATGGCAGCTGCTTGGCGTCCGTCGAAAGTACGGTAGAAAAAGCTCTAGGAATCAGGTATTGGGGCTGTCCGTGTTTGTGGGCTGCGAATTTTGGAGTTTAGCTTCTCGTGTTCAGGGTTTGGGGCAGGAGATTTATGATCTAATGCTCCCGGCGAAGGGCTCCTGCAATTTCAGAGAACGTTGTCGGGGATCCCATAGGTATGACATGGTACCTGCCGCCACGGTACGATGTTTGTTTTAAGGACCTGAACCTCTTCTGATGTTAAGAGACCTCCATCGTCTGATGGAGCCACCAGAACACTTAATGTAGCAGCCTTTGGGGGGCTCCTGAATACAATTCTAGTATCATATACCCCCCCAAACCCTGATTCTAAGTATTTTTCGCCCCTATATTACACGGCTGGTGCACGCTCAGGCCACAGCCTACCTTCTGAACGGCGGAGCGGAGGCCAACGGAAAAGTCATGTTGATTTAGGGCACCAAGGGTTTAGGGTAGTGGGGTATGTAGGGGTATGGGGTTTAGGGTCTAGGGGATTAGGGCACTACAGTCAGGGCCAAGGGCAGTCAGACTTTGAATCTAACCTCTCGGGCTCACAGAGGCTGTTCTAGGGTAAGAATCAGCTACCACCCGCGTGTACTGATGCTGATAGTCCAGCATAGACCGAACTGTGACAATGGGCCCCGGAAGTTGGATTCTATCTTAACCGGCTTATCCCAAAGGCCAATTCCCCAAAACCTCAAGAGCCTATCATTTGAACTGAACACCATATGAGTCATAAGTTCAGACAGGCCTTACAGGTGCAAGGGTTCCGGGCCGGGGCCTTAGCCTTGGACGGAGATAGCCGTCAGGCTCAAAAACAGTGTGTTCGAGTCCTTATTTAGCTTCACTAAGCTGTTGTGGAGCTTAATATAGGGGTTGTCAACCGTGAGTGTGATAGTTATTCCTGACACTTCAGATTCAGCACACGAAAGCCCCAAAATCCTATCAAAATTATTGACGCCTTGATATTATGGTAATCTCCATGCCCCAAGCAGTAGAAATCTCTTTTACCAGGCCCTCGGAACAAGGTTTTCTGAGGCATAACTTCAAGAAAGCCTGGGCCCGTACGGCCTAGGGCTTATAGTGTAGAGCTTCAGGCCAGGTCCCAAATGTTTGACGTGCATTCGGTCTTTGTTTTTGTTACGGCTTCCTTGTCGTTTTTAGGGCTTACCCTAAACCCTAAACGGTTTGGGGCTACCATTCCAAACAAGCCATAGATTGCATGCAGTCTGCAGCTCCAGCAAGCGAGGTGTCGAGGCGTCATCCTAGCGCCCTCGCAGAAGCGGTGAAGAGGCACCTTCTGCATGGAGCGCCTGGAGTGGTTTAGTGTTTAGTTGCTCTTGCTTCTTTAACCAAAGGTGGGTATATAATAGCTATATTAAGGGTGTATGCCTAGGGGTCCTTATTAAGGGTCCCTCCTTTTACCCTTGGATTTAAGACAGGGTCGGCAAGTGTTGGGGGCTTTGGGGGTTCAGGGAATTTTTTTGCCTGGGGATTTGGGGTTGCGGTTTTGGGCCCCCTGCCGACTTAGAATTTGCCCTTATCACTCGTTACAAGAACCAGTGTACCTGGGAGTTTGATCGTGAGTGCCATGCCTGTTGCCTGTGGTATATGAATATTTGTTGTAGTTCGAGTTGGCTGAGTTCCAGGACAGAAGTAAAAGTCTGCATGTGTGTAGTACGTTAAGATACTTAATGTATACTGGCACGAGGGCAGGGTTTAATGTTCGTGGGAGCCACATGTCATGTTCTAAGACCAAGCCACCGAATAACTGTGCCGGGGATCTCCTACCGAACCGCTTTCCATACCTCGATAGACCTGAGCCGCCCTGAGCAAGGCACCTCTGCTAAGATGATCCCAACCCTTGACCAGGCTCGGGGGAACTGTGCAAGAACTTGCGGCAAAGAGCGGCCCCCCGGCGGCAACAGGTAACCGTAACCGGGTGTTTGGGGGACTTTAGTGCTTTTAGAGTTGGGGGCTTCAGAGTTTAGGGTAGAGTGGGAGCTAAGAGGGCTCGAGGTTGTGACTGAAGTTGAAACCTCCAAGTTTCAAGCATGTCTTCGCGGTTGGAGATTCACGGTCTGTGTGGAATCGTGATGTAGAGCATTGGGCATGGTTTCGGTTTGGGGGTGACTAAAGCAGTATCCGATTGTAACCTCTGTAGATTCATACTAAACCCCCAAAAGAACCTAGTCCAACTGAGGTCGCACCTTGGTAGGACCGCTGTTTCACGACTGGGAGTGAGTGCAGGCTTCCGAGCATTTTCAAGGAAACGAGGCCCATGCATTCATCGGTTGGGTACTGCCTGGCCAACGTTCTGCAACAGTTAGAGTATGTCCATAATGCAACTAAAGGTCTTGATATGAGCCATAGTATCGCCTGTTACAGGGTGGGACAGCACTCAAGTTATCGGATTACAAGGGTAGATACGAATTACCTTGCACTGCCGTCATGACGATCGTACAGAAACAGGTGCCATCCCCACCGGCAGGCGCTTGGCTTTAAGGAGAAAACTACGTTTTCGACACCCAAAGCTAGCTCCCTGAATTGGGTGTTCTTTAGGAATTCATGACACCCCATGCTGTTTCATGGGTCTAAGTGGCTTCTACGAAACCAAAGTCCTACATCGATCGTTAAGCTTGGGCCCAAGCCCCGAGAATCCAAGCTTTAGCACCCTGCCCTCTGAACTTGCTGCAACTGTCCGGTTACAGTACCCATCTAGTCGCGGTTGCAGTAGATAGACATATATCCCCAATAAGATCCTAAACCGCAACCCTAGTAATAGCCTTGACACTCTGGAGGCATTGCAGAAGCCCTCAGAGTAACCCTAAACCTTAAACCCGTCTAGTATCCCTAAACCCTAAACCCTTGTAGTATCAAAACCCTTTTAGTATCCCCAAAGCCTAGCCTCGCCTGACGGAAAAGGGCCGTTCAAAAAAAACTTGCAATATCCCTGAACGCTAAACCCTTGTAGTATCCCTGAACCCTACACCCCCTTCAGTAACCCTAAGCCCTAACCCCTTTAGTAACCCTGAACCCTAAACCCAATCGAGAAGTGTACTAAGTAAACCGTTCTAGTATCCCTAAACCCTACACCCCCTTATTGTAGCAACCCTAAAGCGTTCTAGTATCCCTAACCCCTACACCCCCTTTTCGAAACCCTAACCCTGTTGAAACGTCCTGAGGCAGCGATGTGAAGGCCAAGATCCTAAAGCTCTTCCGCCAATACGACGAGTCTGGCGATGGGCGAATCTCCAAGGCCTGGGAGGGGTTTAAGAGTCCGGGTAGGGGGCTTCTGGGTTGAGAGTCGGTATGGAGGATGCATCCATGTGTGTATATTATACATAAATAAATAAATATATATATATATATATATATATATATATATAGATAGATAGAAGATAGACATGTACATATGTACATATCTTTATAAGTGTAAATGTATGTAGGTTGGTAGGTATGTGTATACATACATACACACGTGCATTTGTAGATCGATAGGTAATAGATAAATGTATTGATCCGAGAAGCCTGGGCCTCGTGACCCTTATCCGCCCTATCCTGTGGCTCCAATCCTCTACGGGAGCTTTCGAAGGAGCTTGGCCCAACCTGTAGCTCCAAGTACCTCCACGCTGCGCCCAAAAGCAGAGGGTCAGGAATCATACAGTGTGATTCCACGGTTCAGGGCTGTAGGGTTTAGGCTATAGGGTTTCTCCCAACGTGATACCGTAAGCCCCCAACGCTAAACCCCTAAACGACTTTGTCAGGGGTGGGAAACAGCTCCTCAACCGCAAAGCAAGCCCCATAACCCCCAAACACAACCGCATCCCACCCTGCAACTTAAGGGTACTTAGATTTTTTTGATTTTTGGGTTATTATAATCCCTATAAGAAACATCTAAAATTACAATTTTTGCTAGGGTTCTAAGTTCAGGATAGGCAACCTAAGCAGGCAAAAAGCATCTTGCCGAGGCAGAGTTCGTGAAGATGCTCATGCGCCTCAATCATCAACAAGACGACAGTGACGTGTCTCAGAGTAGGGTTTCGGGGTTCAGGGTTTCGGTGTAGCGTTTTTTTTGGGAAGCAGTTCGGACTCTGATGAGTGCACACGCATGCATGAGGTGTATAGGATTTCGGGTTCAGGTTGTAGGGTTCGGTAGGTGTTTAGGGTCTAGTGCTAGGGTTAGGGATCCCGCCTAAGTTTCAGAGAATCGGAGATCCTTTTTTTGTGACTGGTGGTGTAAGCCATATCTGATGGCTGAGGGTCCAGCAAGAGCCAGCCCATCAACGCAAAAGCCCTTGAGCCGGAATTCACTTTAGGTACCGATAGAGGCGCGAAGAATTAGAAGAGGGCTCCGTGGTATATCAGAGTAGCGTAACTATTAGACGGAACGCAAAGGAATAAAGTCATAACTATTCCGACGCTTATACCAGAGGTTTAGGATCTATGCTGGCAGCAGCCCCGACCGGCAGAGAAAAGAGGAACACATGGGAGTTTCCGAAAATAGGGGACCCTATTCTAGCGCCCAAAATAGTAGGATCCTTACTATACGAACCCCAAAATAAGGTATCCCTAATGTTCGGAAACTCCCACATGGACTCCACAGGCGAAGCGATCTTCAAGCTTGCGGACACCAACCAAGATGGTTTCGTCTCATACCACGAGTTCGCGCGGGGCTCAGAACCCTAAAACCCTAAACCCTGAGACCCTAAACCCTAAACCCTACCTAAACCCTAAAGCCCCAAACCCTAAACCCTGAAGGCGACACAATCCAGAACTGTACGGCAACCTCTCAGCCCTGAAGCCACCTCCTTATGTGCACCTTCGTGTCAGTAGCCCTGTTAGCTTGCGGAGGAGTTTTTGGCTGTCGCTCCATCCTGATTATGTTTTAACGATTCCATCTCATCCTTGTTAAATCCCTTGTCGTCCTGTAGTCGCCCTTCCAGCGACTGATATGGGTTCCCATGTTGTAGCCCGAGTACTCGACTCGACTCTCAGCGCGGAACCCCCAAAATTTGAAGCCCCAGCCCCAACACCCTCAGCTCGAAACCGACAGCCCTAAGCCCTTAACCTTGCAAGAAAGATTTCCCAAGGCCTAAACCCAACACACCCAGCTCAAGGTCTCCACCAGCTCAATCGCAGATTCGGATGGACAAGCAGTTCTAAGCCAGAGTTTCAATATTGGATCTCCCCAAGATTTAGAGAGTCACTCCTGTCAGCAGCTTTCCACAAGGTGTCTAAATTGCCACAGCTTGACACGTCCTAAGGCTACAGCCTTGACTTCTCGGGTTTAGGAGCCGCTAGCCTGCCGTCGCAGCAAGATTGGATCACAAGCCATCCAGCCTGGAATTCAACGAGCATCCCAATAACAAAGTAACCAACAATACTGTTCTCTAGGATTCCTTTAAGAACCATACTACTTATACCCCCAAACCCTATTGTACTTATTAAGGATCTCTATATTCATCGTCAGGCCAACCCTGTTTGAAGACCTGCTGCTTACATGGCAGTTGCCCACAGTACATTCAAAGTGCTGCACCAGCACTCCTTGACCGCGGACTTGAGTTTATGCCGAATTTTGGTGTCTTGGCAATCCCGGAACCAGACAGACCCTAAACCCAGAACCCTGGATGCCCTCAACCTCCTTCCTGCCTAGACAACCCAGGACCTTCGCCAGTGCAATCCGCTTGTATAAGAGAATTATCTTTAAAGATCTGTATATATATATATATAGAGAGAGAGAGAGAGTTATTTATTCCTGTTTCATCGTGCACCCCCCCCAGACAAAGAACAACGAGCCCCCCCGCATCCACAAAAAAGAAGAGCCCTCCTGCCCTGCCTTTGCATGGCGTTCCGGGTGCACTGGCTCTCCGGGGACGTGGCGGCATCCTTTGGCCTTGAGGACCTGGGCTTTTGGGTTTTTGGGGGGGCCTCGGCAGCTGCGGCAAAAGGTGGGTACCAAGAAGCCCTGACGGTTCTACCTCGTGAACCCTAATTAAAATCGCTTTTTGATTTTGATCATTATAAGGGTTGTTCGTAGTAAGTATTGGTAGTTGGCAAATCGTACTATTGGTTTTGCGAGCGTTAGTGTTGTGCTGGTGGTTATGGTTGGTGCGATTCCCTCATCTAATGTGGAGGTCGGACAAAGTTACCAATAGACTTTCCGTATAGTAATACTAGGATACCGCTAAACAAACCCTAGTCTGAGTAACAAAAGGCCGCTATGTTAGCCATGGAACCCTTATAAAGCTCCTACAGAACCCCACCCCAAACCTTTTAAATCCCAATCAGGGCCCCTCTGATTTCGTCCCTCTCTTGGAGCCGCTCCTTAACCTTGTGAACCTTATGCCTTATATAATCAGCACCCCAAACCCTAAACTATATCTTTTTCGGCCCCTCTTTTTTCTTCGTCCCACGTTCGGGAGCCCTATGAGGAGTGCGATCAGGTGGCGGAGCCTTGGCCCAGCTTTGCTGGCGCTTGTGAAGGGCGCTTCCAGGGCTTTTAGGTTTTGGGGCCTGGATGCAAAAAGGGTTTGGGTGCAAAAAAGGGTCTGGGGTGTGGGTTTTAGGTTTTAGAGTTTAGGGTTAGGGTTCACGGTTTAGGATTTAGATTAGGGCTTCCGGCTCCGAAGATTTCAATGTCGATTTCGATTGCTTGGAAGGAACACTTCATAGTTTGCCAACCGGGGTAACGGGTAACGGATCTCGAATTCGATCTTTGGCGTCGTTTTCGAAGGCCAGATTCTTACACCTTAGACTTTGCTGGCTCTCCCGTCATATTTGACATCGCATGTAGGCATATGTATCTCTATCTATCTATCTATCTATCTATGAATCTATCCATATATACATGTTTACATATGTATATATATATATATATATATACGCGTTGTTTCTGATTTGGAAGGTGTCCGAACGACTTCGTTTCGCTCCGTGGGTATCCGGGAAGTAAGAAGCAGATACTTCAAAGGGTTTCGTTAACTTCTGCCGGGCCCCCTACACCCTGAACTTGATGCCACAATGGATGCCCATACACCAGACTCAGCCCCTAACCCTGCATCTTAAACCCACTAAAGCTAAGCCTGCAATGCAGGCATTTCCTAGCTAGGTGGGCGGCAAAAACCCCATAAACCCACAAAGAACACTAAAGCCCCAAACCCTATAACCTTAAGCCTTTCGCGAGCGGGCTTAGACTTCCAAGCAATGCAAGAGGGAAAACCCCTCACAAACCCACAAAGAACACTAAGCCTCAAACCCCCGTAGACCCACATAGACCACTAAGCCCCAGACTCTAGAATTTTGATCCTTAAAACTCCTATAAACCCCAGAAAGCTTGAAGCCCAGGCCTCCTATGGCTGGACTGTGAAAGGGCTCAAGCAGCCACTTGCCTGCTTCCGGGGCCTTTGGTTTTCTCAGGTTCGAGGGCTCCAAAGGTCGTAGAATAGAAGCCGAAATAGTCACAAATGTCACTACTCTTTAATTCAGGTTCTTCATTACAGATATGCTAGAAGATACCCAAACCCCTATTCAAAGTACTAAGGCCCCTACGAACTGCCAAGATTCACGTGGAATAACAAAACTGTGCTGGAGTTCTAGTATTCATAGATATGCCAATAATACTAACCGGTATAACAACACTACGAATAACCAATGAGAGAAATAACAGTAATTTAAGCACACCTATAGTAACAACAATAGCATGATGATACTGGTTGATTTCATAATCTTTATGAGAAAACCAATAATAATAAACACAGTTTACAATAGGCAGCAATAGTAATGGCAATAAAAACTAAAGACATATACGTATACACACATATATATATATGTACATATATGTACATGGAACGCTTGTGGTGACAGCAAGAATGGTAGTGGCAGCGGTTCTACGGATAGTCAACGTCGTAATGAAGTTAAGGTACCCAGGCTGAGTCAGCCTGTACTTTGCAGGCTTCGAGGGCATCCGCGTGGCACTTTAGAGATGCCAGGGCCCTGTGTAATTGATTCGATTCTCCAGATAACATCCCCCAAAAGTAGGTTCGTGTAGCGAGAAGGCAGCTGTTGTGATTGCAGCTCCGAGATGAGAAAATCAGAAGTATAGTAACTTAGTTACTTTGTCTATGACCCTCGTTACCAAGTCCCGTGAAGCCCTAGGTAAGGTTTTGAGTGTTTGGAGGATGTGGTGTAGGGGCAAGCGAACGGCTCGGGTGCGGGAAGTTGCGGATTTGGGGGATTAGGGTTCAGGGTTTAGGGGCTTTGGGATTAGGGTCTGTGTGTGCACCGCACACACAAGTGTGCATATTGCACGCCTGGGCACCTATGGACTCCGTCAAACCTTCGGACACCTGTGCTCCATGTGCGTGTACAGACACTGAAAACCCACAGCTCTTTCTAGGGCTCTCACCCTGAGAGACCGAAACTCACACAAACCCCAGGAAAGCCTCAAAGATCCCTGAACCCCAAAGATCGAAGGTACCTACAGGCACTTCTGGGAGTGCCACGCTTTCAACAGCGGCTGATCTGTGATGGTGCAACGCTGAAGGACGAACGTCTGGTCCGGAAGTAGCGAGGTAAGGCGTCCGATGCTGATACACATTTCAGAAGCATGGAATAGTAAACGCTGCAAATCTTAGTGCAGTCTGGATTGATAGGTCATAAAGTTGAACGCACGCACCCCCCAAACCCCAGTAACCTGAACTGGAAAAAGTTGCCGGAAACGAGCCGACAAACAAGAACCTGAGCCCGTAAATACACCCTACACCTGTAAACCTATAAACCTGTATACCCTCAACCTAAATTCCCTAAACCCTAAAGCCCCTAAACCCTAAATCCCAAGATAAGCCTTACAAGTTCTCAGACTGGCGAGGACGATGCTCTGTGGTTTTCTGAGGGCATGGAGAAGGTACTGCCAGACCTTCTACTCTTGATACAACCTTTCGCAGAGCCCTCCGAGAAGCTTGGACTACGATGTATTTGCAGATGTCTTCAGATGCTTTGGGTTCAGGGCCGGCGTGGGATTTAGGATCCGAGATCTGTCTTCTGGGTGTGTAGTGTTGGGAGAGGTTTTTCGGTCTCAGCACACGAGGGTTTCTTTGCTCCTGAGTCAGAGAAGGCGGAGGAGTTCGGGTCGCAGTCACGTCAAAGCGGAAGGCCCTATACCCGTTCAGGACGTTCAATAGGACCCTAATATATAGGACCCTAAATTAGGCCCTGATAGTAGCCGCTTTGTTCTTCCTTCGTCATTGTCCTGAACGCTGAATCCCTGCTACTCAACATGTTCTGACTTCCATCCCAGCTGAGCTTTCAGAAGTTGCCGCGGTGTTTACCGGTAAATGTTGGAACCTGGGCTCCTGCAGCTGTGGAGTTGAAAGCAGATGGAAAATGTAAAGAGCTCGCTGCAAAGCCAAAAGCCTGGCACCTGCAGCAAGAGCTGCTGCAACAGGAGATATGCGGTTGAAGCAGCCGTAGCCGTAGCAGCATCAGCAGTTGCAGCCGTAGTGGCCGCAGCTGCAGCAGCGGTAACAACAGTAGCCAGCCGCAGAAAGTGGCCAGGAGTGGGGGCAGCAAGGCATCGCTTACTATGCATTCCCTAGTGAGATCTTCTGGAATGCCTAAACCCTCATGGAGGCCAACAGGGGTTTTAGCCTATGGGGTTTTAGTAGGTATTA